GATAACAAGCTGGCCATGAAGTTGTCCGATCATTGCTCCTGTTTTTGCAAATGACAGGTTCATGTTTGTTAATGGAAATCTGAGCTCTCACTGCTCAGTGCACAGAAATGACTTTGTATAAGCCTAGCTGTGCCCTGCCGCGGGCCACCCTTTTAACATAGTACAGGGCAGGTGGTGGGGATGTGGAGTGCTGACGCAGGACAGAAAGGAGGAAGGGGTTTCTGGCTTGGCTGCTAAAGAGCTGCTGCCTCTGTGGTAGCGAATCCCCTTCCCTCCTCCTGTCTCGCAAGCAGGGTGCCCATCTCCAGAGTCCTTCCCTGATGAGGAGTTTCTGAATCCGAGAACTAAGGGTAAGGAGGAGAGGGCCTCCTCTGAGCCCCTGTAAGTGCCTGAAACCTTCCTGCGCTGCCACCAGGTTCAGGCCTCCTGTCCTCTGTCAGCTCGCTGGCTTCTGAATGTCAGAATTAAGCCACATGAGTTGTCTCCGTCCTTCCGGAGAAAATGCTCAACCTCAGTCCCAAGTCCTCCATGGGGTGACATTAGCCGGGCCTTTGTAGCCACACTGCCTGCATCTCCGCAGCGTTCGGCTCCACAGCCAGTTCGGCGCCTCAACACCCCCGCCCCGTGCCACCTGGAGATTCCAAGGCAAAGCTGGCACCACAGGGCTGTAGAGCTGCTCTCCCCAGAGGGTCCAGATGCGCCGGCGGGCGGGTCCCCAGTGCCAGCCCCTTCCGGCGGGTAGAGATCTGGCGAGTGCCTGGCGTGCCTGTCGGGCAGTCACGGGGTCCCCATGCTAACAGTGCAGGGTGGGATTTCGGGGGCACATGGGGGCCGGCCGCTCTGCCAGGGAGGCTGATAAATTCTCATCATGACGACGGCTGCTGATGGCCGCTGCAGCCCCTCGGAAACCCAGGCGCAGATCCTGGTTGGCTGGGCAGAGCCCAGCAGCCATAGGGAATGGGGGCGTGGCCTGGGCGGGCGGGGCTGGTCTCTGCTGCCTGGAAGGAGCATCTGGGACACAGGCAGGACCCAGGGCCCTGTCTCAAGGAGGTGAGAGCCTGGGGCCAACAGTGTCTCCCAGCCTCTCCTCGGAGAAGGCAGGGGCCTGGCCACAGCGGACCCCACAGGGCGGGCCCAGCAGAGTATGCGGCCTCCGGGTGCTGGCATTAGAGGTACCCTCGGAAACAGGCGCAGATCCGGGTTGGCTGGGCAGAGCCCAGCAGCCATAGGGAATGGGGGCGTGGCCTGGGCGGGCGGGGCTGGTCTCTGCTGCCTGGAAGGAGCATCTGGGACACAGGCAGGACCCAGGGCCCTGTCTCAAGGAGGTGAGAGCCTGGGGCCAACAGTGTCTCCCAGCCTCTCCTCGGAGAAGGCAGGGGCCTGGCCACAGCGGACCCCACAGGGCGGGCCCAGCAGAGTATGCGGCCTCCGGGTGCTGGCATTAGAGGTGTGCTGGCCCCCACGTTACTAGGTTCTCACCCTTGGCAGCACCTTGGGGTCTAATTACTGACTTGATCATTCTAAAAAGATGGACAATTATTATCCAGTAATTAAAAGTAAAGTCAAAAAAAGAAACCAAACCCCAGTGCTGAAGCCAGGCCCAGATCAACCCAGCTGGAGCCGCTGGGGGGTGCAGAGAACCGGGTGACAGTGTCACCTTTTGAGTTTCCCAGGCTCACAGGCAGCCCGGGGCGTCCTCAGTGACCTGTGCCCGCCTTAACTTTGCACACACATCCTGGTTGGGTTCCGCTCCACTCCGGAATCTCCTACCATGGCTGGTCCCTCTCTCCGCCACGCACGCAAGCCCTGCCAGTTTAGGGAGCTTCGCCGAGCCCTCCTGTGCTCACGGACCGCCACCGTGTGGGGTGCTCACTGACATCACTGTGTGCCCACCTGCCTTTTGTGCCCTTGAGGAGCCTCAGAGGCTGAGGCCAAGTGTACTCTAGACCAGAAGACAGCGGGTTATCTGTGGGGCGGCCCAGGACGAAGGCCCAGAGCTGGGCTCTGGACTTGGATCTGTGCCTGGCCTGCGCTCACTGTGAAACCCTGCGGGTGTGGGCTGACCCAATGGGTCCCAGCCGACTGGGAGCTTAACATCCGGGGCTGTGGAGGGTGTGCCGAGGGGGAGTCAGCCTGGCCTGACCCGGGTGGCCTAGGAACAGGGAGGCCAGGTGTTCACTTCGGGCCTGGCCCTGGGGAAGCAGAGGTGGCTTCCAGAGTTTCCACCCTGCCCCAGGGCACACCACCTGCACTTCCCAGGTGAGGTCAGTCCCCAGAGGGTCCCACTGTTCACAGAGCCCTGGGAGTCTAGAGCCAGGTGAGGAGGTGAAAGGTGAGAGCTCTGTGGGCAGAAGCAGCCGCTTCAGAACCAGGTGGGGGCTGCACTCTTGGACCCATCGCTAATGGGGAACAGAAGCTGCGGGAAGAGCAAAAGGCGTCAGGAACACATGCAGCTGCCCTGCTGGGCTAGAAGAGAATCTAGCCTTGCATTCTGCTTTATTTTGCTCCCTACCAATGTACCGGCTTTTCTCCAGAGCCCCTAAAATGAAACATTAGAAGAAATCCACCTTCAGGCCAGGCCTTCTGGATCTCCCTCGCCAGCGCCAGGCTTCAAAAGGAGCAGATGACTTTTCAGAGCCAGAAGCAATTGACAGCCGTCAGAGCTGCAGGGAGGTGGAGAGAGGCAGGCTGCTGACCTCTTCTGAGGGCCAGGGCGGGGTGCAGCTTGTCCTGCCTCCCCGTGGACCAGCTCCGACTGGGCGCCCCCCTTTCCACCGTCTGGCAGTCTGAGCTCAGGGCCCAGTCACCCAGGGAGACCCCGCCAGACCTTGTCACCTGCCCTGAGCGTGTTCCTCCAGCGACACCCTCACACAAATACAAAGCTCCACATGATTCCCACAGGCGAAAACAAGTGAGACGGCCTCAGGAGCCGCTGCAATGCTGCGCGCTTCAAACCTCCTGAAAAGTGCTGTGGCTCTCCCGTGGTCACCAGAATCATCCATCACCCCGTGGCAGAGTCAGCAGACTCTGGGCTCGGGAAATAACACAAACTTCCTACCTTTCTCAGCACCGACCACACCCTGAGCGGGATGCTGACGGGGAGGTGTGGGCACCACAATCCCCGTGATTGCAGAGGGTGCAGCTGCACAGGGGAGCACACGACGCTGCCATCACCACTGTGTGCTTCACAGCGGCGGCTCAGGGTCCGGAGCGCGAGAGCCTGCCCCATGCACCGCTGCGCACTGCTCCTGCGCTTTGAAGGTCACACTGTCCTCCGAGATGTGTACCATCGCTACTTGTCAGTTAGCCACAATGCCAGCAGCTCCCAAAGTGTCATCCAACACTGGGCAGTGGCCACATGTCCCCTTCCAGGCTGGCCACCTGGGCCTCCGTTCACGGAGCGAGGCGGCGCCCATCCTGCAGCTGTGGCATGGCCAGCACCCTGTCTCTTTCTGCCCATAAAGCTTCTTGAGTGACGAAAGCTGTGGCCAGAGCCATTACAGGAAGGGAAGGCCTGGAAGGCCCAAGTCTAGCGATCTGCTTAATCCAGGCTGCCAAGAGAGGGAAATGAGTTTTTAGTGAGGGCAACCTGAGGTTTGGAAGCTGCACGTCTGTCCTGCGTCTGTGGGATCAGCTGCCTGAGTTCCATCCTTAATCTGTCCTGCACTGGGCACGTGGGCTGCAGGCGTGCTCTGCTCTCCGTGCCTGGCCATGGTTGGTTCCGGTGAAGCCCACACACGAACACGCCCGTGTATGAAATCTGTCACTACGCGGAGGGGCTGAGCAAGCCTGAAATACCCAAAACGCATAAGCACTCGCTGTGGGGTTCCCTTCCTCTTCCACTTAGACCAACGGCTCCATGGGCTGCCAACGCCTCCTGCCCTCTCTTCGCTGAGCAGTCTTCAAAACCTCTCACTGTACCTCCACAGCACCGAGCCTCAACAAGCCACTGCTGTCCCTAGTTGACAAAACTAAAATTTGACAAATGGACTTGCTCAGGGACACTTAAACTGCAAAGCGGACGTACCCGAAGGCACCCACCGAAACAAGAGGCAGAGCTGAGACCCAGTTGGGGCTTCCATGGGCTTTCTGCAGGGCAGGGACGAGGGGCACGGTTTGGGGAACACGATTGTGCTGCCACCGAAGCTGATGTGATAACAGTGTCAAGCTTCTGAGAAGCAGAGTGGCTCCCGAGCCCCAGCCCCGGGTTGGGGGACAGAGGTGTCTCTGGAGAGTGGCTCCTGCTGAGCAGGTCGTCACCAGTCACTACCACACCCTGGCTCAGGGAAGCGGAAGTGATTTCCAAGCTGCAGGTGGGGACCCTGGCTACTTCTACTTCAGCCTCAACCCCAACTCTCCTCATTCCCCCAGATCTCACTGAAGCCCAGCACTCAGCACCCCGGAACACAGCCCTGCTCCCTACCTTGGTGCCCCACGACTCTTCCTGCCACCTTGGAACCGTTCTCCACTTAGAGCAGCACAAAACCTTCCTCCCCAGAGCTGTTCTCCTGTTCTCCAGTCACTGTGCTTGGCATTTCAATAGCTCCAGAGAAAGATTTCATGAAATACTGCAAGAAAATAATTGCACCCCGCCCTTTGTTTCTCAACCGCTTTAATCCTTCCCTCAGAGATGGCCACCATAATTAAACTCGGTGCTCCGGGTGTCAAACTCAGATTCACAGCTTTGATAAATATTAGGTGATTAAGCTATTTATAAAAGATATAATTTGAGAAGCTGGCATTTCGTGCGCTATGATTATTTCTTCTCTGTGAAGACGAAGTGCTTAGCCACATGGAAGGCACTGCCAGGAAGGGAAATTAATAAGGATGTTCACTTGTAAGCTTCAACTATTTTCACATCTCAGATGAGCTGAGACCATTTCCTCATGAGAAAAACGAGGAGGAAGAGAGAAAGGGAGAGAAGTCCTATGGGCACAGTGGGGAGCGGGACTCTGGCTGTCTGAAATGAGCAGCTGGGGGTGGGGGATGGAGGGTCCTACCAGGAGGTCCACCATGTTGGGCTTGTTGTTCCGCAGCGTCTTCACGGCATGGAAGACGTCGACAGTCCTCTGGTGCCGGAGCATCTCGCAGACGATGCTGATAGCGCAGAAGGTGCCACTGCGGCCGCCCCCGTTCCTGCGAGAGGAGAGGAGAGGGCCGGGTGATGCTCATGCTGCAGGTCACACTCCACTGTGCTACCCAAACCCCGGAAGCCACCGGACTCCACATCCGGGCTGCTCCTAGGTGCAGCAAAGGTAGCAGCTAGAGGGATGTGAGCCGGGGTCCGCCAGCGTTTCCCTGGCCTGAGATCGTGTCACCTGACCCGGCACCCTTGCTGGTCTCACACTCGTGGCCTGCAGTGGAACATCTCCAGAGGACAGAGACCTCGCCTGGTCTTCCAGGTAGACTGGTGACGAGGGTGGGTCACGTTCAAAGACGTACCTAGCCTTCCAGAAGACATAGGGGCCCTTGCTAAGTCATCAAATTGCCCAGGTTGGGCTCGAACTCGTGTTCCTCCTCCCTCAGTCACCCAAAGTTCTGGGATTACAGGTGTGCAACACCAAGCCTAGCTTACATTGTATTTTAAAACAAAGCTTTGTATTTTGAACTAATTTTAGATGTGTAGAAACACTGCAGGAATAGAGAATTCCCTTGCACATCCAACTTCCCTGCTGAGAACATCTTATAAAACAACAGCATGTTAACAAAACCAGGTAACACTGGTGCAGTCTTATTAACCTGACCTGGCTGTGGTTAAATTTCACCAGATCCTCCGTGAATGTCCTTTTTCTGGTCCAGGATCACAAACTGGTTCTCATCTTTCATTTAGTTGCCTCCTTTGCTTCTTCCAGTGTGAGACAGGCTCTCAGTTTCTCCTGGTCTTCTTGACCTGAAGCAGTTATTTTGCAGCACGTGAAGCTCAGAAGATAGAATGTAGGGGAGAAAGCACCCAGGGAGCTGAAGCACAGGCCAAGAAGTGACTGCGTAGGATAAAATGCAGACTTTCGTTTAGGCTGCTCTGATTTCTTCTCATGAGTGGGAAACTGGTCATGCATTTTAGCAAGAAAATTGGAGGGGGCACTCAGTCCTTCACAGGGTTCACGGTGTCGGCCTGCCCCATTCCTGGTGAAGCTAACCTTGCTCACGAGTTAAGGGGTCTGCCAGCATGTTCACTTCTGTTTCCATCTTTGTGCAGTTGGTACACAGCCTGTGTGAAGGTATTTTGAGTCTGTGTGAATATCCTGCTCCTGCTCACAGGTTTACCACCGATTTTTGCATTCACTGGTGGATCACATCTCTAACAATCATGATCGTGGTATCTGCCTCATGTTGATTTTGCTTTCTTCCTTCTGATGTTCTACCACAAGAAAGAGGTGTCTCTCCTCTCCCACTCAAAACGTATTTTCATTTTATATCCATGTGGACATGGAGAGAATATTTTATTGCACGAGCTAAAATTCAACAGCACTGTATTGATTCTGTTGCTTGAGTTTTTCCAACTTTGACCCTTAAGAGTTCCATGGGGTTGTTGCCTGTGTTCTTGGGAAAGTATCTGTGCTTTTTTGACATATTCTTACTTTCTGGGGTCCCAAGACATTCTATGCACCTCTTATATTTTTCCTGTACCAACTATTCAGTCAACCTCTCTTCCAAGGAACTAAGAGATCTTTCTTTTTTGGGGGTAGGATACCTGGGATCAAACTCAGGACCTCATGCTTGTGAAGCAGGCAGCAGAACCACTGAGCTAAATCCCTGGCAGAGATCTTTCATTTTTTAAAAACACTATAATACTATCATTCCCAAAATAAACATTACTGTTTTAATAACATCAGATTTCTACCTAGTTTAAATCTTCTATGTGGTTTCTTATATTTGCATAAGAAAATCGACAGCTAAAAAACACCATAATACTATCATTCCCAAAATAAATATTACTGTTTTAATAACATCAAACTTCTACCTAGTTTAAATTTTCTATGTGGTTTCTTTATAGCTGCTTAAGAAAATCGACAGCTAAGTTAAATATGCATATTGCATTTGGCTGATAAAAGTTCACACTTGTATTTTAATCTACAGCTTCCTCCTCTTTTATTCTTTGAAATTTGTTGATGAAGTGGGGCATTTGTCCTGTGAAGAGCCCCACATTCTGGGTTTTTCTCATTCATTGCCTCTAACTGGTACCATCCATCACCTTTGCTCTCTGCTCCTGAGTATCTTGTACACTGGTAGCACTAAGGCGTGCAGAGGATGGATGGGTTGCTGGAGGGGTGAATTCATTTGTACAGAGGTATTGTACATGTGTATTTCCTCAGGAAGCAAACACAGGATGGTATCTCACTGGCTGTTCGCATGTCCCACCCCTTAAACGAAGGACCCATCCATCTTCTGGCTTACTGGAAAAATTGGATAATGCATCTTGTTTCTACTGACTTGCAGGAGTCTGGATGAATTCTCCGCCAGCTCTGTGGAAAGCAAACCTCTCCTCCACCGTCCCGCCTTTCACACCCCAGATCTCCTGATGAACAGAAGTGCTTCGTGTCAGCGAGATTCAATTAGTCACCATCTCCCAATGCTAGTGTTCTGGACCCCGTCTTAGCTGGGCTTTGGTTACTCAAAACATGGCAGCTTTTCCCACATCGTCTTCTAGAAGCTCTCTTGTTTCCCTTACACGTTCGGATTTGTGATCATCTGAAAGGATTTCTATCTACGGTATGAGGCAGAGACCAATGTATCCTGAGCATCTTCCCAAGGCCCTGCAGGGCTGGATCTCTGCCGGTAACCAGGTGACACACAGGTGTGGCCCTGCCCCTGGATGTCCTCTCCTGCTAATTCTTGTTTTCTGCCCTTACACTAATACCATACTGGTTTCCCATTCCCTTTTCACCCAGTGCTTCCAGCAGGTTCCATATCCATTATTTTCATGGAGTTTCCAAACAGTGACCTACTTCTACTCATTTACCCTGGCTTTGTTAGCTGGAAGACAAGTATAAAAAAAGATACGTCCCACGTGGGACTGTTCCATCCTCCAATAGAGCCTCACCCAGGTGTGCTCTGTCCACCACCAACAGGTGGCGCTATGCCACATCGAATCCACCTCAGAGGGACAGAATGGCATTCTATCTCCGAAGTGTCCTGGCAAGGACTAGAAGAGGCCAATTTAAACTTTGCTTCTTATGAAGCCAAAAAAAAAAAAAAGACTTATGAACCTAAATAAAAATAAATCTCTCTTGCTGAGAGTCACACCAAGAGGGCCAGAGGCAGCCCCACAGGTAGCACAGAGAAAGTTGAGGTGCTCTCTTTAGGGGAGGGGAAGGGGCACGAGGCAGGAGGAGCAGCAGATGCCTACCACCACCCAGGACAGCCGGACGGCTCATCTAGAGGCCCCGCAGAAGGGTACTGCCGACAGAGGCTCTCACTTCTTGGCCGTGCTCGTCTACAGGGCGTGGTGACTGAAGGGGTTTCTGGACTTCTCCCTTACTCCCGTCCTGGTGCCTCAGTCCTGCGGGCACAGTTGTTGGCCCTGTTAAGCGTCTTATTCAGGGGTCAGACGAGTTAGCATCCAGATCCAGCACTGGGGAGTGTAGGCCCAGGACAAGTGTCTACAAACTCCTTGGTGTATAAGACACGAGGCCGGTGCGGCTCAGAGTCAGAGCGCTGCCCTATTATGTGCCAGGCCTGGGCTCCACCTGCAGCGGCACAAAACAACTCCAAAAGCGAATGGATCTGACCCAAACTGATTAATGTGCCCGTGACTCCGCTGTAGGCGTGCGGCTCAGTGAGGAGGTCTCTTCTCATTCCGGTCAGAGCCCACATCCATGCTGAGACAGCTCTTCGGAGAGCAGAGGGAGGGACTTTCCACGGCAGACAAGCGCGGGGGAGCCCTGACACCAGGGCCCTGCAGAGAGCCGTGCCGCACCTGTCACATTAGCACGCCTGGCCCTCCACAGCGGCCTTCCTTGGCCTTCCATGCGGCAGAGACCGCACCTTGGCTGCCAGTGGCACCCTGAGCGGTCACAAGTGTTGTGGCTTTGAACTTCAGGGTCCTCTCCACACCATTCCCAACTGCCATGGACTTTTAATTGCTGGTTCCATTAAACCAGCTCACCTCGCTGCCAATGAGACAGTGCAGTGAGTCGGAGCAGCCTGGCACTCTGACGGCCCTCTACCTTGGCTGCACAGGGAGAGCACCCAGGAGAGGTCTGGGTTCTGCTCCCAGGGACCGTGTTCCCAGGTTCGGAACCGTGGTGTGTCTGAGGTGGGGTCCGCAGGACTCTGTGCTCGGGCGGGCAGGTGGCACGTGTGCAAAGGCACCTCCCACGTGCACCCCGTTGCACGGCTGGCTTTGTCACCCTTCGGGACACTGGTCAGTCATGTTTCCGTCACTCTACAGCCTGCGTCCCTGATAACCAGCTGGGAAACAGAAAGTCCACGACGGGGGCGCTGGTACCTGGGGCCCGTGGTGGGGGCTCACGGCCAAGGAGGCGTGGAGAGAGGAGAGGCGAGGACACCCAAGTCGCCCAGGAGCTCCCACCACTTTCCAGCGTCCCCACCCATGGGCCCAGCCTTGCCCACCTGGGCCTTTGAGGACATTGCAGGTGGGTACAGAGCAGGCGCAGCAGCCCTGCCACATGGTTCCTCAGAACCAGAACCACACAGACCAGGAGATGGCGGCTCTGAGACCCACTGGGACTAAGGCAGGTGGGTGGGCGGATGGTGTCATGATGGCCAAGCAGCCTGGCTGGTCGGGGAGCCCTGAGCAGTAGTAGCACTGCTGAGCCCTGTGGATAAGTCCTTCCAGCCCGGATGATCCCAAGTTACCAAAGAGGACTCCCAGAGATGTCAACGCTGGCTCTCAGGAGCCAGGAGGAGCCACGAACCCATCCAGGAGGGCCTGTGTGAAGATTATTTTTATGGCAGGTTCACACTGCCTGCCAGAGTTTGGATGTGTTTCCCAAGATTTCATGTGTCAGAAACTTAGTCCCCTAAGTCATTAATGCTATTGGAGGTGCAGCATCTGGGAGATCATGAGGGTCCCCACGGCTGCCTTAGTGACCATCTCTCCGGGTGGTGTCTCCATCATGTGACACGGTGGCACGAAGGCCCTCAGCCGTGGCAGTGCCTGCTCTCGGACTTCCCAGCTTCCACAGCCATGAGCTGAACAAACCGCTATGTGACCTGCTCTTGGGTGTTTTGTTAAAGCAACAGAAAACAGACCAAGACCCTACCCAAGTCTCTTGCAAAGCCCCTGGGCCCTCAGAGAGCGGCAACCCCCCACCCCAATCTTCTGCTTCTCTGCTTATAGTGAAACGCAAGCCGGAAAGGAGGAGGCAGAGCGGGCCCAGCACTTACAAGCAGTGCACCACCGTGCGGCCTTCCCCGCCATTGTACTCCTCCTGCCACTTGTCCACCTGGCGGATGAGCTTCAGGAAGGAGCGTTTAGACACGGGCGTGTCCCTGTACATGGGCCAGCCGAGGAACTGGAACTGCTGCACCATGCGGTACCCGTCCTGGGGCTGGGAGAGAAGACACGTGTGACTCACTTCCGGGAAGCCGGGCCTCCTGCACCTGCTGATGCCCACATCCAAGCAGCCACAATGAAAGGGGAGGCCGCGACCAGGCCTCAGCAATCAGGGTTTTTAACCTTGAGCAGTTACAAAGAAGCAGGTGTTTTAAATGACCGATCCGAAATGAAGCAGAAAGCTGACCTTTCTGCAAAAGCCCAGAGCACTGACAAGCTAAGGACAGGCCACATGGTGCACCATGTGGGGAAGACGGCTTTACCTTCATTACCAGTAAGATCAGCCGTAGCTCGAGAGGTCTGAGTTCAGCGTTACAGACCGCACCATACTTGCCGCGAGCATAGGATAGTATGATCACTGCTGTGAATCTTAAGATAGCAGCATGAACTCATCTCTGGTCATCATGAGGGGCACAGTATTCCGAATTTATGTGAGAAGAGATTTACCGTGCCAGGGAAGGAGCCCAAGGCCTGGGCCCTGTGGGAGGACCCTCCTCAGGGACACTGTCTTCCTGGCTTCTCTTCCGCCTCCCCTAGGCCTCCTGAGACAGAAGCCCGGGCTCTGTCCTGGTCCCTTTCTCTTCCCGGCCTCTCCCTTGAGGACGCCCCACAGTGTCACAGCCTGAGCAGCACCAGTATCTTAGCTGCTATAGCAGTCATTCATCGTCTGCCTCCTAACAAAGACTCCTTGCTTGGCCATAGTTAGCCTGGCTCTGGCACCGTGTCCCAGGCCCATCCGTGAATAAAAGCCCCCGCCTCTGACACCGATCAGGCTCCCCCTCACCATGCCGGGCCCCCTGGCCGCTCTTCAGCGAGGACTCCCTCCCCGCAGCTGTCCCCTGGGAGTCCCTCCCACCGACCCACCTGGGAAGGCAGGCTGGAGCTGAGTCGGAACCCTGCGGAGCAAGGCCTCACTGCAGGGGTCCCCTCACCACTCCCTATGCCTTGAGAAGCTTTTCCTCACTGGGCTTCCCCAAGGGCCACCAAATTGCTTTTTCTTCATCACATCTCTCAGTAGAGAATAAGCTCCCTGAGTCAGGAACCTCCGCTTTGTTCCCTGAAGGTTCCAAGGCTTGAGAACAGGCCTGCTGTGGAGGGGCCCCTAGAAGCAGGGGTCACAGACGCAGCGCTTACCCTGGCTGCGTTATAAATCCGGAATATCCTGCTGATGATGTCCTCTTCCAAGTCAGCAGACACGAACTCCACCTGGATGGGGCCGTGCCTGTGCACGCCATTCTCCGGCCAGTACTGCGGACACAGCTGAAAGCAAACAGAGCAACAAGTTCGTTACTGGGAAAACCGAGTCCTGAGCACCTCAAATGAGTGTACCGACAGTCACTAATTCTTAATACACCATCAAGTCTCTTCCTTTTCTTTCTTTTTCTTCCAGTAAGCAGACCATAAGACTTTCTTGTTGACCTATTCCTCAACTCCACCTGTCCCTCTCCTAGGACCTTTTCTTCATTTTCCCCCAAAGCATTGGTAGCCACAGAAAACTCTGCTTTCCAGGTCAGGAGAGTGCTGTTCTGAGTGCTCCTTTGTAAGCTCTCTGCTCTTGCTGGAGGGTGCTCTCGGGCCTGGGGGAGACCCCACAGCCCAGCCTACAGAACGGAAGACAGTTACCCAGGCCCACCCAGGCCCGCCCTCCCTGCACAGCTGATGCGATATGGGTTGCCCTGGCACATTCTGGCCCTGGCCCTCCTAGCTCAGATTTGGGAATGCTGGTGTCAGCAGAGTACACACTTTGCTGCTTCACCCAGAGGTGACTTCGATTGAAAAACAATTTCCTAGAGTCGCCAGTTGCAGGTATTGGTGCTACAGGAACATGCACAGCCCAGTGGGCAGGGGTGGTGTGGGGCCTGGTGGCTGGGGAAAGGGCTGCTTTCACTTGCTCTCCAGCAATCTCCTAAACTTGAAAACAGTCAGGTGGGAAGAGTCCCTAAGGTCTGTGTCCTTCAAACACCCTTCCTAAATCTCACAGCCTTTCTAGGCATCTGCAGTGTGAAACTAAACTTCCAGGGTCTCTTCTGCATTTGCGTTTCATTTTTATCTTTCTGGCTTCCCTGAGGGACAGACAGCTTACGGCTAAACGAGAGAGGGAACCATCATTATTTTCTAACCTGTTGCTGTGAGGCCAAGAACAGATGCGAAACGTTACCATCTCATTTAAGCTAGATGATGTACCACAAAAGAAGACTCACTGGTTGAATTTCCCTTCTTTGATGACTTATTTTCCAAAGGATCTAAAAATCTCAGTGTTGGATGTTGCTAAGGCTGGTTTATAGCCAAGATTACAGGATAAGGCCTCGGTTATCAGCAGGTCAACAGAAAGTTCCCGCTCCCTTATGAAGGAGTTCAGGGTTGGAGCTCATGATTAAGAATGAAAGCAGGAAAACCAAGTGTGTTCCTTATGTCAGCTAAGTCTGCTGTAGTGTGGAAATTACATTTATTTATTTTTAAATAATACTTCCATGAAATTTTTTCTTCCTTCCAGCAAGCACTTCCTGGTGACAAGTTATTAAAGTGCTTTGTCAGAAAATAGCACACTGATGTTTATTTTCATTCTGATACCCAAGGGTTCCCACTGTTAAAATTAATAGGCATGATGACGGGAAGCCGAGATGGCAGTAAAAGCCGTAACAGGCACCTCTGAACCGTTCTGCCCATTTCAGCTTGCTGAGCGAGCTCTGCTTTCTGCTTGCTCTCAGTTCAAGCACCTGATCAAAAGCTTCTCACTTAGCTGGAGAAGTTCGGACGGCCCATTGTGTCCTGCACTCTGCCCAAGGGAGCCAGGTAGAAAATGGCTTAAATGGTGCACAAGTCATCCACGAACCGGGCCTATACATACTTCAAATAGCTGAGTGCTAGTCTTGTACACTTGCAAAGCCGATAAGTTCAAAAGCTCAGTTTAGTGTTCGCTAAAAGACCGACTCCCAGGAGCCTCTTCCTCTCACTCTGAAAATCTGCTATGTCTGCAGAACAGACTTGGAGTCCCTTGTCTCTCCCCGTACTTGTGAGCAAGGCCTGCTTGCTGTTCAGGCAGTCTGGCTTTGGAAAGCAGCTTCAGAATGCAAACGCTGTTGTGCACTAAGAACACAGGAGAACATGGACGTCCTGTCCACCGATGAGAACAAAAGCAGTCTATCTGGCCACATTTTGGGATTCACGTTGGGAAAAACCCAGAGATTCTAGACCAGGAACAAGTCCCTCATCCTGTGACCGCGGCATCCTGCAGGAGGACACCGCCTGTGGCACACCAGGCAGGGAGTGCACCTCGGCGCTCTCTGGAGTTGTGTCTGTGTACATGGCTGAGGCGCCCACAGGGGGAGCTCTGAAACACGCAAACTTCTTAACCCAGAAGGATGAGAGGAGAACACGGATTATCATCATTTCATTAACCAGCTTGCAGCAAAGAGCCTTAACCATATAAGGCAGTGCCTCAAACATCACGAAAAACCCTGTAGAACCATGGGCCCACGCTGTCTGTAGCAACTGAATACATTTTGGGAGGGAAGCATCTTGTCTAGTTTGGATACTGAAATATTTCAGAACCTTTGTTTAAGGAATCTATCTGCTAGATACAAAGTTAAAACTCATTCTGTTTCAGAACAAGTGTGTCCTTTAAACATGCTAAGATCTAACATTCCACAGTGCCCTGTCAGGGTGGGAAAGGCTGGGCCTGGAATAACCTCTGCACCCAGGCCTTGGTGCTTCAGCGCCCTCTACAGGAAGATGCTCCTCCCCGCCCCACTCCTCTTGTCCTGCTTGAGCCTCCCTGGGTCTCCATGGCCCGCTGGCTCTCGCGCTCTGGTACAGGGGCCTGCACTTGTCAGTGAGCAAGCACAGTGAGCCCACACCAGACCCAGGGCTGGGCTCCCCATGTGATCGCGGGACCTCACCTGGGCAGGGTCCACATCATTCAGCATCACGACTGACGTGCAGTGGTAATCCAGAACCAACCTCCAGAAGTCTTTTACTGTGTTTGGCAAAGGATGCTGGGTGACTATGAAAGCTGAAGGCTGTTTGTAGCTCTGTAAACGAACAAGGAAGATACACATATACCCAGTAAAACGGGAGGGCAGGGAGCTGAGCTATTTTCTGTGCACATGGAAATTTGTGGCACAGGACCCTGGGCATATTTAGCCACTGTTGAGTTCTGTCACCACTGTCAACACCAAAATAGACTAAATATAAACTCATCTGTGGGTAACAGTGATACAATAGTCTCTCTCTCATACCAAAAAAATTTAAGTGTCACCTAACAATCTGATCGAAATATAATAGTGGCTCTAGACATACATTAATTATTTTAATGAACATTTTAAGTTTTTGTTATACTTTATGCACATTTAAAATAGTTCTGCTTTTCCTAAAACTTGTGGGCTTGCTATTTCTACGTTGTGATGGTGTCACACGTTCCTCCCATGGAGGACAGACACGCTTTCCTCAGCTCTGGAGATCTTCCAGCAAGTTTAAGTGCCCTTTTACGGCATCGTGCCAGTGAGTGAGAATTTTCACATGAGCACTGAATACCCATTTACTCTTCCCATCAGATGAGTGGCACGGAGCAAACAGACCGACAGTAAGTGATGAGCTGCGTTTGCATCCTTTGTCAACTGCTGCCTACCCCAGGAGAAAAGGGAGCCACAATGATGCCACCAGCTACATCGTCCCACGCCCCTGCCTGGTGTCTTAGCAGCTGTCCCTTGCCCTCTGGCCAGGCGGTTGGAAGCCCAAGTGATCCAAGGGCGGAGGAGACCACAGGCTTCTTCCCTCAGTGCGTGCTGACCGGCAGCCTCTGAGAGACCAACAGCGTTGGCCCTGCACAGATTCTGAAAGCTGTTTCCTGATGGAAACATGGCCTGCATCTTTCAAAAGGGCTGGGGGAACAGAAGAGCAGGGGGAGAGCCCCGCCTTCCCAGTGGCTCCGCCTCCAGGAACCGCTCGGCACTCCTCCCGGGGGACGGGGACGGCGCTCACGTCCATCAGGGCAGCGTTAATGTAGTTGCTGCTCTCGCCGTCGATGGTGATAAGGAAGGGCAGGCAGCGGTCTGGGGGCAGGACGTCCATGCAGCGGTTCTTCTCGTGGTTCCGGGGCAGCAGCGCGATGCTGCAGTCCTCCACGCGCAGCGTCGGCGTCACCATGTTGAGGGTCTGCGGGTGAAAGACAGGCAGTGACCTCCGGGGGCTTCACGCTCGATGACATGAACACATGCAGGAGGCCTCATAATGTGCCCGGTCAGGCACACGGGGACAGCTCCCATGTGATGCTGAACACGAGCACTTGAAAAACACCTTATAAGTTCTTTCTCGAATTTCCATCCAATCTTTCCAGGCCATCACTGCAGTCTCAGATAAGGGGCCTACCGTAGTGTATAAAACACAGCACAGTGGTAACATTTTAAGAAGGCACACTGGGAGCCAAAGGGCTCACGGCACATCCGCCTCACGGTCAGCGTGAGGCAGGTAGGAGCTTCCTGAGCCTGCCTGCAAGAAGGTCTCCCCCTGGCTCCCCCCGGCTCCCGGCGAGACTTTCTTTTCTCTCCTTGGAATTTG